CGACAGCTGTGCGCCTCTAGCAAAAAGAGACCCCTGCGTTGCCTGTGCTCCTGTACGCTTTGCAAGGGGATACGCCCAGGTTACATCTCTTCCATTCTGCTTATGTAACATTCTCTGTTGCACGTGTCACTTGCATGTATCCATGCCTCGACATGTTGTTCGTGGTTCTAGCAGAGTACGAGCGACAGCTGTGCTCTAGCAGAAAGAGACCCCTGCGTTGCCTGTGCTCCTGTACGCTTTGCCAGGGGATACGCCCAGGTTACATCTCTTCCATTCTGCTTAGAACTGGTCTCCCTGGAACGCATCGTCTGGGGGGCGCTGAACGAGGCGCCGTGCAGCTCGCAGCCGTTGTAGCCTCGATCATGCCCCTTGTTAGCGACGTCCGGCATCCGCAGTCGTTGGATTTTGCGAACGAACGCAAGACCCTACTCCTGCGTGATGTCCATGGCTTGTCCTGGGCGGCCATCCAGAAGCAGGTTGTCAACCTACGCGGAGAGACCCCGAGTGTACGCCTACTGCAACGTCTACACCAGGACGTGAACCGGGACTTAGGGCGTCGGGTCTACAAGTACAGCAACTGCGGCCGCAAAGCCACGAAGGCCACAGCTGCTGTGCAGAAGTACCTCGTCGGCCGTTTGTTGGTGTTGCGAAAGCGCACCACGTGCACAGCAGCAACGCTTCGGCGGGAACTCGTGGCCAACAAGGGTGTGGACTTGGACGAGTCCACGATCCGCAAGATTCTCCGCGATCATGGGTACAAGTGGCTTCCCCGCGCGCAGAAGCGGAAGTACAGTGCAGCAAGGAAGAAGGAACGACTGAAGTTTGCAAAAGCAGTGCTGCGCCTGACAAAGGCAAAGCTACGCGAGAAGCTCTCCATGGCCATGGATGGTGTCATTCTTTCCTTGCCGCCGCGAGATGCAACGGAGCGGGCGAACTACTGTGCCCACGGAGACACACACATGTGGAGACTTCCTGGTGAGGCCGCTTCCGAGCAGCTGGCAGGCCAGGATCCCTATCCGTACCAGATACCCGCCGACCGGGTCGTGCCGCTGTGGGGAGGACTGTCGGAAGGTGGCTTCGCACTTGTCACGTTTCACCATGCGCGCAAGCTCACCTCTGCAGAGTGGTGTCGCGAGGTGAGACGTGGCAAGTTGGCGAAGGCCATACAGTCCCTTTCACCCGTTCGACCTGCTGGGCCCTGGACAGTCCTGTGCGACAACGAGGCTTTCTTGCACACGGCAGCCAGCAAGCGGGCCATGGCCGCGGCCGGCGTCCGCGCGTGGCGAGTGCCTGCGTCTTCCCCAGACCTCAACCCGGTCGAGAAGATGTGGGCCTGGCTACGGCGCCGAATTCGCTCCAAGGATTGTGAGGACCTCCGAAGGAGGCGCCCTCCAATCGGCAAGATGGCCTTCAAGGCCCGTCTACGCAGCATGCTCGCCTCGAAGCGGGCGCAGCATGTGGCTACTCGCATCGCTGCTGGTTTCAGGACGACCTGCAGGGAGGTGGTAGCTAAGCAAGGCGGCATGGCCAGAGGCTAGCTCGGAGCCGCTTCGCGCGTTTCACAGACTGCAATTTGGCCGACTATCGGTCCCCGAATTCACGCTGCGGCAGGACGAAAGTTCGTCGCACTCTGTATGTGGTACTTGAACAGGGTATAAACCCCTTTTCCCCCTAGACTCCTCCACCAAGTCCTCCGTCCGGAACATTATAGTAGTATAATTTTATTCCGGTGGATTAATTCCTCCGCTAGCCAGGCCATGTAAAATGGACTTCTCGGTACTCCGCGTCCTCCGCAAGATGGTGTAGCCAAGTACGACGAAACTTTAATCCTGGTGATGCTCACGGAAAGGCATTTCCGACTAAAAAATGTGTCTGTGCAGACCCCTTACACATATAAAAGAGACAAATATATAGAGATCTAGAGTGCTCTTGTGCTTCTTCTCGTGTCTTGCTGGAAGCGCCTCGTCTCGGAAGTTGTCTAGCTCTGCATCTGTTGCTGCTGCAGCTCGAGCCCGGAGCTTCGCCATGGCAGGGTTGAGTCTAGCTCAGCGAGCCAAGCGAGCGCTGGTGACACTGCTGCTGGCCTTGGCATGACAAGCCTACGGCCTGGAGGTGGCCGTCAGCCGGGAGTCTGCTGACGCAGACATCCAAAGGGCCTTCCGGAAGGTCGCACGGCGCGCGGCGCGTGCACCCCGACAAGGGCGGCAGCGCGCAGGACACACAGCGTCTCAACGCTGCGCGCGACGCGTGGTCGGCAGCGGCAGCGCAAGGCCCTGGGCGCGGTCGACCGCGTGCGGCCGCAGTCCCAGCAGCAGTGGCAGAGCCCGGGTCGGGACTTCGTGTCCGATGCGAGGCCGTGCTGCTGACCTACCAAAGCTGGTCGCCGGATGTGGCTCTGCCTGCATGGGAACGCTTCGGCGTTTTTGTCCATGCGAACCTGAGCTCCTGGAGTGTGAAGCATTGGACCGCCACGATGGAGTCGAACGCCTGCGGCTCACACCACCTGCACCTCATGCTTCAGTTCCACAAGACACAGGACTGTCTGACCTCCCGCTTCATCTTCGAAAGCACGCGGCCCAACGCCAGCTCCCATGACTACCTGGGTGAGGGAGTGTGCAAGAAGAAGCTACAGCAGAGCATTGACAGAGGCATGTTTTACGTCTGGGCCAACAAAGTCGGTACAGTTAGGGTCGCAGCAAGTTACGAGCCTTGCTGGACGGAGGCGACGCACCTACCAGGTTCTCGGAAAGTGGCCGGAAGCCCTCTGGAAGCAGCGGAAGGTCA